CAAAGAACTGCAATGCAATTAAAAAAGAACTTTCATACTGAGGCAGACTGCAACAATATTCTCCAAAATGAGAACATTTATGCCAACAGCAATCCATCTTGCCTGTAACTTTCTATTACTCATATTATGGAAGAATTTTCTGTTTCAGTATGAGGGTTTTTTCCCTTATTAGTCCAGTTTCTGCTGGATCTTACAGTTTTGCTCATTTGCTTGGTAACCGAGTGATGCTAGAAATAAGCAAACACTGAAATGATAATCCATTGCAAGTGTGAAAGATGAAGAAAGAGGGATTTGACACAAACAAGGAAAGAATTCTCAACTTCAATGCAAGTGTAAGGAAGCAAACATGAAAATCCATCTTACTAAACTACTATTGTATGCCTCTGTCAGAAAATAGCCTCCTCCCTCATTCAAAAGTTCTGCTGTTATCCTGATTTGACCCACATCGCAGTAACACTTTTGTCCCACATCCTTTTATCATGTTTCTGCCTCAAAAACAATCCTTTTCAGGCAAACATTCTCTTTGATTGATTGAAGAAGTGTGTTGGGCAGACTGCTTCCCTGTCTTCGGGCTTCAATATGAACTCTATGCCTCTTCCCATCTTTGTTCTCATTGTTCTATGATCTCTTTTGAGACTACTGAAATGTGAGATAATTCATTTTGGGGACCTCTGGCAGAAAGCATTGTCCTCTTGGAAATTCAGAATCTTCTGCTCAGTCTCCTTCTTAAGGATACTTAGAAGAAATAACTCAAATTGCCACAGAGTTAATCCAAATTAATCTGCTTCTCCCATGCTGATATCCTTTCAGGGTATCAGTTCTTATTTTCCCTTCCCCATATTCTGCTTTCAAAGAACAACAGAACAAGAAAGCAAAGGGACCGCAGCTGCAAGACTCGCCGATATGGATTGCACGACAGAACTGCTCCCCAGGCAGATGGCTCCCTCGGATGCACTGCACCAGCAACCGTCGCACTGTGAGAATCCTGGTGATTTAACTGGAGATAATACAAATCCCTAATGATGATAAGCAGTAGCGGCAAGCAGGAATCAGGATCTCTGGTGTTACTTCTCAACAGACTAAAAGTTTCATGTTGGGAACAGCAAGTCATCAGCTGTTACAGACCCAAGTTGCCAAGGCAGCAATGGTTCCCATAATTTAGAAGGATTTCAGTAATTAGGTTTAATACATGGTATCAAAAGGACGGTATCTGCAGGCCCAAACTTTGTCAGCACAAATACAGACAAGCAGATTAACAGACAAGGCTTTATAGAAATGTAGGCTTTGGCGAACTAATCTCCTGGATGTTCTTCTGAAGAAGAAAAGATTATTGCCTGAGCTTTTATACAAGTGCTAGATTTTCAAGCTGCGTAAAGCACTGAATTTTCTTCCTTCATGGGTTTTATCCCACCATTGAAACATAGGTATCCCTACAAATGTTTTCTTCCTGGTCAACAACAAATGTTGTTTCTAAGCCAAATTACAGCCTTCTTCCTAGAGACTCAGCTGATGAATATATCCTCTCCTGGAACACCTCAGAAACATAAACATGAAGAGTTATAACCTGAGGTCCTTTTCACTAGACAGAGCAGTCAAATAAACACAGTTTCCTTACTATATTCTAAGAGTGTAAGACAGTCACATCTGAATGCAAAAAATTCTGATTTTTCCAAGTCTTTCTAAAGTTAAAAAAAAAAGAAAAAAAAATAATCACACCTTCCTTTGATCATATTTATGATTATCCATCTAGCCATAGTTTGAGAAGAAAAAAGCATTGTTACTCCAGTTTCCTCCTCATTCTTTGCACCACTATGCTTTGACAAACACCTAACTCATTATAGTTACTATCTTACTAAATGCTGATGTCCTTTACTCAGGATATTTTTGGGGGAAAATATCTGGATTTAGAAGTACATAATTAAATAGTTTCTAATTCAGTTTATAGGAGGAAGTTCTTGTATATCTAGGTCAACATCAAGACTATGGTGCATGCTTTAAAAAATGTAAATCATAGCTTAGAAAATGTTCTGGCTTCTGTACAACTGAAGGTCAACAACTCCCTACGACCTTCAAAAAAGCTCTGTAATACATTCAAATTAAATAAACTACTGACAAAAGTGTTTTACAATGAAAAAGGTCCAAATACATTCACTTAAGAATTATTCAAATAAAATATTTTACCAAGCTGGAGCCACTCTGAGAAGCATGGTGTCCAGTCTCTGAGCAGCACGTTGAAGATTCAGGCACATGCGATTCATTTCCTGAATTCAACAGAAGAAAAGTGTCTCCAAGAAAACAGTCATCATGCTGGGGGTGTAAAACGCTTCTGGCAAAGGGGTTAGGGTGACAACACCACTCTTCAACTAAAGCACTCCAGTCTTCACTTGGTAAAGGAAGAACTCTGAGAAATTTCCTAAGAGGAAAGAAGAAAAAATATTCTAATATATTATATTCTTATATATATATTCTAAAAGAGAGCTTAGACTCCTTACAAAAAAAGAGGGGAAGTATGGCATTTTCTCAAAAGGAAGTGCTTGACTCTCCCTTCAGTCAAAGTCACTTTCTTTGGATGAATTCTGAGAAAGCAATGGCTGAGTGTCTCCTGCGCAGTTTGTCATGAAGCATTTGCCAAGGGTAAATTTCCAATGATTATAACGCAGAACTTGGCATAATCTTCTCTTGAAATTAATCACATGGAAAAAATAAAACAGTTCTATCCAGTCATGAAAAATATAATAATGGGAATTTTGCAATTATATTTATTATTACTTCTTGTAAAGTCCCCTTGTACCAAATGTTGATATAAAAACAACAGAAACAGACTGCTGCCACAGCAAGGGAGAGCATGTCCTCTGAAGCCCCTCAAAGTCAGATACCAGACTTTGAAAAACCTAAATCCTGACAAATACCACACTATGACTTCATTTAAAAAAAAAAAAAAAAAAAAAAGAATAATGCAATCTTAGTTTAGATTCAGACTCAACTTTCAGAAGTCACATACAAAAAACCCAAATGTTCTGGGCAGCTGTATGGACCACAGAGGCTGTTCCAAGCAATACCAGACTTTTCTTTCATTATCAGTGTTGGTTTTAAGTTACTTTCTTTGGTAACACACAGTGGTAGGGGATTTTATAAGCCAAGGTTTGGAACCACTGCTTTAAGCTGTAAAATACACTCTTAAAGCTAGAATATATACATGAGGCTACATAAATACCAGCTTGCTCATTATGAGTGTGCGGTCAATGCTTTCCTGCCCACAGTTCCTATAGCCATTCTGTGGTCCCACCACATCTGTCTTTATTAAGAATGCAGAAGTATTGATGGATACTATCCACACATTTACACTTTCTTTAATCTGTGTCTTCTAGAGAACTATTGCACTGGGAAGAAATTCAACCTTTTTACCAAAACAATAGGCAATGGCTTTGCCAGTGTGCACCTCTCGAAGAGTATTCTAGATGGGTACTGCAGAGCTATGCCTTCTGCTCTCTGCCTAGTTTCCTTGAATGCTTTCCTTTTGTTCCCTTATTTCGTCTGCTGTTGCCTGAAGTCTTTACATAGCGTTTCTTGACTCTACTCCTCACTTAAAACTTGCAAATACAGTTTTGCTTATGGTGCTACTTCACAAACACGCAGCTGCTAAGCCAACAGTTAGACACTCTCCCTTTCTTGCAGTTCACAGGCTATTCTTTTCTGAAGATGCCAGTTCTTCCCATTGCAGTTTCTTGTGCCTTTTGTATTGTTGGGTGGGTGAAAGTAAAATCTTTTTATAAAACTTCCTTCTTTCTAGATCAACAATACATTTTAAACTGTGCTTGCCCCATCTGCAGATGAAAGTTGGAATAACTCGTCCTCTGACCCAGCTTTACCGTAACTAAATAAGGTCACCTCTCAGCACTCCCATCACTGTCTTTGCTCTCTGTGGTCTTATATGTTGCCTGAGATACAACCACAATTCTGCCATGGTGGGACCTTAATTCTGGTGTTGGCCTAATGGCTGATTATTCATCAGCCTTGTACAATTAGTTCCAATGTCCGGACTCACACTGAAAAAAAGAAGTTTTCATTCCTATGTATTGCTCTTTATAGCAACAAAAATCTGTTTTTTCTCAGCAATGTTTTTTCAAGTGTTACATACAGAGGCAAAAAAAGACAGAGATCACCTTAAGCTGCAGACCAATGCTGTCCAGTTTTGTTACATTACCCTTTTTTTTATCCTCACAGTCTAGACCATCAATATCTTGAATTCTTGTCCAACAAAAGCAGTTACTCCAGCCAGTAGGAATTTCCTAAAGAGATTCCTCCTAACTTGGAGCTATACAGAAAATAGAGTATTTCCCCTATATTTTAGGCTTTTGCCATTACAGGCTGGAAGCCATATTCTGGATCACTAGAACTGGAAAAACGTAACACTAATAATTTATTAAAGAGTAGCTTTCCAGAAAAACAAACAAACAAACAGACTTGAAGTTTACTGGGTGATGACTAACTTGAGGCTGCTAAATACAGTGATAAAACCTAGCTAACAGGGTGACTTCTCTCCCCAAACTTGCTCCTAATAGCAACTGAGTTTCTACTTTCAGATAGCCACCTAGGCTGCCTTCACAGTCAGAGAGCAACAAACACTTCTAAGGTTGGGACCTTTAAGAGAAACTTTCTCCTTCTGAAACTTTCTAACATGGTCAGGCTGACTCTCCCTCTGGAGATAGTTCTCTGTCTCTTCACCAAACAGAGAAGCCTAAGTAATTAATTTTAAAAAGCTAGAAGTTAGGCACTAGTCTTTTTAAAAGAGTCCTGCCTTAAGGATGTAATACTTACGTGGGCTTCCATGCTAAGGTAAGTATTTGACCACAGAAATCCTTACGTAACTGCACTGAGAAAAATAATCTCTAACACCATTATTAACTAATATCCAAGAACTCAGCAATATCATTGTATCTATTGAAAAATCCAAAAACTGGAAATAAAATGGACTTTAGACTTTTAAACACATAACCCTTCTGTTCCATTATAGCAAAAGAGAAAGACAAAGGATTCAACTGAATTTCTTTAACAGCAGTCTTCCTTATTTACTTAGCAAAAAGTCTTGGACAGTCCAGCTTGACAGTTAATTGCCATGCTTAAAGCTATTTATGTGGGAAAAGTGTAATTAGAAGATTTCCCCTGCCATCAGTTTTTCAATAGAATACTTATGTAGTACAAATTCTTATCATTTGGACTAAGGAAAAGCTTTATTGCTTAATAGTCAATTAATGAAGTTTATTTTTCTCAACGTTCAGCCTTTAATGAATTTATTCATGACAGAAATAGAGCCTTAAATAATTATTTTATATATGAACTACACTTAGCCTAACTGGAAGGAGAGAAAGAAAAAAAGAAAGCATCCCAAATTCTTTGCAGCTCTTAAATCTTGAAAGAAAAAAAAATCTAATCATTTCCTCTAATGTAGGTAATGTGAGGGTAATGGAGAAGAATCAGAAAGCGTAACCCTAATCTCTGAAGAGCTATCAGATTCATGGAAGGAAACAGACTAAGCCACGCAATTTCAGAAAATGTAGAGAGTCTATTTTCTTGCATCAAGAGAGGATCACTTACATTTAAACCATTCCCAACATATTTCTCTAATCTAGTCTTTAAAATGATGGCTTCCTATTCAGTCTCTAACAGTAAAAAACAAACTTCAGAATAGGTTTGAGGCTGTTTTTTTTTTTCCATTTTAACCTAAACTCCTCTTGTTTCAACTGAAGACTACTGCCACCTTCTTTGCAGCAACTTCTTACATATTGGAAGAGTCTTACATCTTTTCCACAGCCTTATCTAAACTAAACCCCATTTATTTCAATTTTTTATCAAAGGTGTAATAATTTTCTAGATCTCAGGTTTTTCTTATTACAGACCCTTTCCTGGTAACTCACACTTTAACAAGTTCCCCCTTACACAGTTCTGTACCAACGCACAAATTCTGTAGCCGTAAGTACTGACTACACTACTGTCTTCCTTTTGGAAGTGCTGGAACAGAAGGTGTTGGATACACTGGCAGCTGCACTCTTCTACCCTTGTCTTACTATTTTTTTTAGTGATAACATACAAGGGCCTTGGAGGTTCCCTGTTAGGAGAAATGCCAAGCAAAGAGTCATGAACAGGTCTTCTTTTTCCTTTCTCAAAAGTTCTGACTGTGTCACGTTACGGGATGCACGACCAAAAGATGCAAACTCCATGCATACGAATTTGATGTGCTGAAATTCAGGAAAATGCCCACTCAGAAACAAAAGTATGTAAGTGCAATCTTTTGAAACCAAATGTTACTGACTAAAAATTAGAAGTTTCGGAACTCTGAACGTATCAAAATAAGAGTGATTACTAGACTTTCTGATGAGACATTTCAGAAGAGAAAGCCAGGAAATCCTCTTTCAGTTCCATTCAAGCTAGCCATAAATCCATAGTATGACAAGAAAGTAACAGGAGTTTACAGAATATACCACATTTGTATTACCATTTTGAGTATTAGGAGTGACACAGATCATAAAAGGTTGCAAGTGCATCTCTAACAATTCTTATATATCCAGCTAAAGCTGTCAAAATTGTTCAACAGAAGAGCCGGAAAACGCAGCAGCTTTTTATTAAAATTCTGATTCACTCTGCAGACTTTGTAAGGAACAGAGACAAGGCTAAGTCACACAGCTAAGAAACAGTTCCTGTGTTTCCCAAATTCAGCATCCCTGAACTATGTGGAGGTTGGCTTTGCAAACAGATAGAAGGGAGCTGTGGTCAATACCCCCATTCTGTGTAGCCACTCTATAGCTACGCCACGATGACTGAAGGGAATCTCTAAGAGACTGAGCAGAACTAAAGAGGAACCCTGAAGTGCAAAGGAAGTAAGAAATCAAGGCTCAAATTTTCAATTTTATTCCCTTCAACATGGCAAAGATGTCAGCTACTAAAAGACTGAGTATTTTTTAAATCAATGAAAACTATGAACATTTGCAATATTTTCAGGCCAAAATGTTACAGCTTTTTGTTTGTACAGCAAAAAAAGAAGCTATTCTGATGACTGCAAAGAGATTCTGTATGAACAAAAAGCAAAGATCTCAAAGTAGAAATTTTACACGTAGGGAAGTCCAGCTACAAAAGGAAATGTCTCGCTCAAGGCACAGCAGACAAGCAGGAAAAGACTGCAGATTTCCCAACTTCCAGGGCAATGCACCAAACTCCCTTTATAAGGTGCTTCTACTTTCCAGTCAGAACAAAATAAAGAAGTAAATGAATAAATGTTGAAAAACTGTTTCAGGTAGTTTGGCTTTTAGTCATTCATAGTGCTTCAAAAGTGTTCTCATCTATCAATTTCGAAATAAATATCTTTGAGCTGTCTCTCTAAGTACACAAAATAACATGAATACCAATCACTATGGCATTTATTGCTATAAATATAAGACACTGCAGTACTCACCGGTCTTTTACTATGATGTCACCACAGGACTGACAGTAAAAGACGTAACTCTTCTGGGGTTTCAGGCTTTCCCTCAAAGTAAAAACAAAATCTATAGATAGAAGATGACGTATTAGTCTTCAAAATTATGTAAAATTTTCAGTCACTTGTAGAGAAAAATCCTGCCAACTACCTCAAATGGAAAAGGATAAGAATCTAACAAACAAAGCAAAATGCTGACATTTTAAACACAACCTTAATTTATTTACCTGTAGAAGGAAGTACTTAGACTTAGAAAAAACTTGCTATCTCCATCTCACGCTCCATATTGATGAATAGGAATCGCCCACATGAATAATTATTTTAAAGGTGCAAATCCTCTTCGCAGAGGTAGCTGAAATCTCGATATCATTACAGAGATTAGATAAATTAAAATTCGATGCCACTGTTTTGTAATGATATTTCTGCTAATCAGTGTCTCTGCAATATGAGGGTACATCCCAGTATGTAACATACAATAGTTGGGGGAGTGGGGAGGGCACTACTTTTAAATTTTCAGGCAGGTAAGATAACAGCCACTGTGGCACTGCTCAAGGAATAGATAGTCAGCAATACCCTCTGCAGGCCAGCAAAGCAAAAATGGTTTTACGAAAGCCAGCTCAGACAACTTTTCCAATTTAAAAAAGGAGCTATAAAAGTCTCCACAAATCATCAAATAACATTAGGTGGAAGAAAAGTAAAAGTGTAAGCCTAGTTCTATGTATGAAAATGTTTTGCATTGCCCACTTTCTGAGACTTAAGAATCAAAGTATATTCTCAAGCACTGGCATTCAGTATTTAAGATTTAAGTAGCCACCACAGATGAAAAGTACTTTAAAAGATTCCAGAATTTCATATAAGAAAAAAGTAGTTTTGCATACTAATACAAAACATTAAAGGCTAAGATTATCCGATGTATACATTGATTACCATCTGGTTCACATACATGTTTTTCACTGGTACGTCTTTGAAAGGTAAATTTTTGAAACTTCATCTTTGATTTTTTAAAGCACGCCTCGTTAATAAGACACACTAAGTAATTTTTGTATAATTGAATTGTCAGAGCACATGCACTATTACAGGCTAATGTACAGAAGCAATCTCAGTGTACCATAAAATCAACAGAGCATTCCGGTGTGTTTCTGGTGCTGAAACCATTATTGTACATCACATACTTTATTCGTCATTCCTACTTTAAAGCCACAGAATGACAATTTTGTGTTATTTCGTATAATTTTCTGAGTCACATCCTGTTAAATGACTCTAAACATATTGAGCTTGGATGTCAGAATGGAAGAAAGCACCGGCTATACTACCATGCTTCCTATTTACAAAATCACATCCTAGTCCTGAATTAGCATCATGGAAACGAAGAAGGTCACTTCGCAGATGTTACCTGCAACATTAACCTCTGCGACCTGAGGCTGTGAGGACAACAAGCCCCAACACAAAATCACAGTCCTCCACGATTAGGTGGTCACTGACAGCTTTAGTGCGATAGCCCGGATGAATCATATCACTGCCCTTTCAGCTACTAAACACGAAATAGAAGGGAAAGAAAATAATTTTGAAATAATACGGGAGAGCATGGGGGAGGAACCGAGAGTTCTCTAACTCCCACACAAAACACTTACTCAGCAACAGTGGCTCCCTTTCATTACGCCACTTTCTGCACTTTTCATTTTTAAAAACTGACAGTTTTATTACATTTTATCAGTCCCTGTTTAAATCTTCAATTCGGAGCTAAAAAGAGCCTTTTAGGAAAAGCAACAGCGTACGCACCACGCAAACCGTGAACTCCAGCTGGTTTGTATAACGCGGATTTTTTATGCTGCGGCACCTACACTTTAAAGCCTCTCCTCGTCACTTAAAACTCATCAGTTTCAGGTAATTTTAAGCAAAAACGCCTTTTTTTTTAAGCAACAGGCCAAGTTCTCCCCGCCGCCGCC